ATCCTTAATCTTTAATTTGAATTCTAACACTTTTTCCAATCAAATTGGACACTCCTAGCTTTTCATCTAATCAGGGTTTAATTCTGCTGTGATATTTATTATGTGTAGGATGGTCCGAGATGGCTATTTCGGCTTTAAAGACTATTTTCAATCTCTATGTGATACTGTGGACGGTGGTAAAGACTTCTATTTGCTTGGTTCTGATTTTGAGAGCTATTTAGAGGCTCAGGTAATTATTTCTGTTTACTTGGCAGTCCCAACCCAAAGCATATATATGCACTTGGAAGTATGGTGTTGTATAACTTACTATGGTGCATGGGATTTGAATCTATATGACTACAGGCTGCTGTTGATAAAGCATTTGCGGATCCAAATAAGTGGACTCAGATGAGCATCCTTAGCACAGCCGGATCAGGGATATTTAGCAGCAATAGAACAATCCAAGACTACGCGGAGAAGACTTGGGGAATTGAACCGTGAAGATTCCCTTCTGATGGCTAGCTCACCCTCACCCTCACCCTCACCCTCATCCACACCCTAGTAGCAACATTTTACATATTTGAATGGAATGTATCGGAAAAATTCTCATTCCCCAACGTCACTTGTATAAATAAAATAATTGAAGAAATAAGTGTAGCCCAATGGGCTAAAGTGGTATTTTAGCCCTAAACCCTTAAATGATATGAAAAAATTGTATAGTTAAAGAGTATAGCTGCCGTGTATAGCCGTTCGGCTACTCTCTTTAAAATATTCTAAACGTATAGCCGCGCGGCTATACGCTTTCAATATATTCAACATGAACACTAAGCTTGCACTTGCAGTCACAGCCATTTCGCCTCTCTATCAACTCAACCTTCGATTTGTTTTCCTCGGTTTTGGCTGCTTCGTCCTCTAGGTTCGGTACCAAAAAATGAGCCAACCCGCCTAGCCGCCTAGGCCGATTTTTCAAACACTGCGATTGACTGAAAGTCTGAAACCCGAAATTGAAAAAATTTTGCTGCAAATTTGAGCTTGAGATTGAAATTGGGAAGCACAAGTCAGTTCCGTAGAAGAAGAGATCTCATGCCTCTAATTCCATTCCTCTCCATGCTTCCCGCCTTATTCTCCTCTCTTGGCTCTCTCTCAAACGACATGTTCACCTCACCACACCAACGACAACGATGACAATTCCTCCCCTCTGCCAACTCCGCATGAAACTTGATTAATCTTTATGCATTCAATATTCATCCATTGATGGTTCTTCTTGGTTGGACTGCTCTTCATTCTTTGGATATTGTATTTCTGTTATAGATTTTGACATTTGATCATGCCCTCTTGTTTGCTGAGAAAAAAAAAAAAAAAAAAAAAAAGTGTCTCCTCCTCCTCTTGCACATAGGAACACAAAACCAACCCACCAAAGAACAGAAAAAAAATATTGAAATATTACACCACCTCAAGTGAAAAATCTAATTCATTTAAGCTTTTAAATTTGTTCTTGTATTAGCACCTGTATGAGCAACAAGGTGAATTGTAAATGGACTCTACTTCTGCATTTGAGTTGTAATCCACTAGGATGAGTGTAAAGCCCTTATTTATGCTTACGGTCTCCCACTAGGGCTAACAGTCAATCTATAGCTCAAACGCAGTTGTATTGTATGGCCATGAGTTCACAACAACAAAGTCCTATAATCAAATTCCTGTCAGATGAAAGTATTTATGCAAGACCAGAGGGAGTAATGTTCATTTAAACTTAAAAACATTCCCCAAGATCAGGTACACAAATCTTTCATCTACATGGAACGCCATCAAGATATGAACTAATCAAGTTTGTTGAATGAATGCTTGCCAAGATCCTCATCCTTTCAACATGGCTCTTGAAACATCTACTGGCACAGCTTTATTAAGTGGATATGTAACCATAGACTTTGTATCTTTGTAATCTATCTTGAGATGCCTCTCCTTGATCTTTTCTTTAACCATCAAGAAAATGCTTGGTACCTACAGATCTTTTATTGTTTCTTTAGAATAAAACTGCTCTTGTATTATTACAATAAAACTGCAACTGTTGCTTCCTTGACTCCTTTCAATAAACTGCCCCTTCATCCAACAAGAATACATTACTGGAGGTCGACGTACTTCAGGACATCCTGCAAAAATCTTTAGTTCTCTTTTAAACCAGCATGTTACTCTTTGCCTTTTACAGATACCTAAAACACTTTCTTTACTGCATTCCAATGAGCGTTTCCAACATTGGACCGGAATTTACTTAACACACTGATGACAAATGCCAAGTCTGGCCTATTACAAACTCGTGCATACATAAGACTCCCAAAATTATCAAATAAGAAAATTCTTTCTGTGAATGTCATTCAGTGGTCAAGGGATAAAACTTTATGCATAAACTGTGATGTTAGCAACTGTAATACCACAAATTATGTCCTACATTCACAAGAAATCTTTAAAGAAATTAACAAACCATATTAATTCCTATTTAAAAGCATGAAATTCTCTATTGTTTCAATGTTGAAACCCTGAAGAGAATCTTGAACCAATTCAGTTAGCCAAACATTCCTAATGGTTTCCAAAATTAAAGTTTCTTATTAAAATTCCTTTATCCTTCAAATCCTTTAAGCAAACCAGAAACAATCCTTATGGCATTAGAAGAATTGTAAGTTATATATATAAGATACCAAAAAAATAAGAAACCGAGCTCCCATATCATAGCCTTAATAGTAATGTAACTTTTTCTTCTTTTATCTTTTCTTTTACAAGCATAAAATCATGTCTGAAAGCTTAGTAACGATCACAACCTTAGGACATCCATATTAACTTTAATTTTTAATACCTTCAAGTTCCTTTATGAAAAATATGAACATGTTAACTAGACATACTTGTTCTATATATGTTCATACAAAAAAATAATCTTAACCATATTAATACTGTAAAATATACCAAAACCAAAATAACTCAAAACTGCAATTAACCTCAGGCTATGGCTTCACTTCGAATTTCTTAATTTGATGCATACTTTAAATTTCAACTAAATAGCTAGAAAACCAAAACAAAACAGTGGAAAACTGTTGTAAATAAAACTTCACGAGCATGCGAAATGTGCTGTAATTAACTTTAGGCTATATCTCAACCGTCTGGTGAGTAAAACTTTATGATCTTACAAACTAGGGCAGTGGCTCAACTTGAAAAACTTTTGGTGAATGAAACTTAATGAGCTTGTAAAATAGGGCAGTGAGTGTGAAGTCCAAAAACCATACATCATTTCTCCCACTTGGACAAACACTCACTACTTGGTTACTCTTGAAATGAATACACCAAAACCTTATAACTTTAAAACATGATAGTTATTAATTAGTACACGTTGATAAGATAATATCATACGACTTTTAAGATGTACTGCTTTAAATAATTCACACAATTTCTTTATTAGTTTGACTAACCTCAAATTACTTAGAATCAAACTAGAGACATAAAGCTTCACATAACAGAAATTTAGAGTCTTTTTATGTCTATTTAATGGTCTAAAATAACCTACAAACTTAACTTCATAAAACCTGCCAGCACAAAACTTTTCCAGAACAAAGGTTACTTAAAATTTGCCAAAATTAAAATCCATATTCAATAACCACGAAAATTTGCAGTCTATGAGAAGACACATATACGTTCATCGTGCAAAAGCTACAGGTCATGTGAAAAGCTTCAGATGAGTCATTCATTAATCTTTACTCATAGTCCAGAATCTGTCAGGAAAGTTTATGTGCATCTGTATAAACTTTACAAATCCACCAAAAATTCAATACAAATTTACATGAAATTCTACACAAGAGATATCCAAACAGACATCATATTTGAGATTTCAAAACTGAAAACTGAACCAAAATTATGAGAACTGACATGTACCTTGAAATATTTATGTGTCCAAACTGTATGTACTTTATACCACTTGAAAACTAAACCAAATAAGTCAGTGTTCTTTAAACAAAAAACAATATGATATTCTTGAAACAAACTGCAGAGGATTTAAATGAATAGAGTTCTTAAAAACTGATGTTCTTTAACAAGGTTAAAGCTCAAGTTTCTTTTAGGCTATCATTTAAAACATCTTTATTCCCACAACTGTATGTATGCTATATTCTCACTTTTGAGGAGAATACAACCTGTTTATAAAAACTAGATCACAAGACTAAACCACATGATGTCTTATCTTGTGCCATTATGAATTGAACCATACTAGTCCTCATTTGAGAGGAAAACTTCATAATGCCATTTTGATCATTTAGCCTTGAATATTTAAGATGTTGTATTCGAAGAAGTGCTTTGGCAATTCAACCAATACAAAATCTTTCTTTAAACATGATCACTGAAACTTTAGTTAAATCTGTAGGGAAATTTAACTTTGATGGCATGTAGGTGCTCATCTCATATTTTATTTTCTTTAGTGATGAAATTATCTTTCTTTACCATGTGAAAAAAAATTCTGTAACAAGTGCTCTTGCTACAACACCCAAAAAAACAAAGCTATATGCTACTTCAATCTTTAGAATCAAGCCAATTCATTTATACACCCTGTTAGACAGCTTCAATTCTCCTTATTTCTATTCCTGATAGTTTTTCTGAAATCAATTATTTTAGATGCACAGCCCTAACAGTTTAAGATTTTTCCTTGTACGTTTTTCTGGTTGTATACTATATATTCCTTTTACTAGAGTTGCATTAAAGCATATCAGAATTTCCAGAATCATTAATAACCAAAACTTAATTATCAAAAGCAGAAAGTGCACCTAGCAGATCAATTATGTTTAGTCATAAGAAGATAATCCAACAAAACGAAAAGAACGTGAAACCTGGGAGTAATAGGCTCCTTTAGATATGCTCGTATGCTTGATAATGGGCTTAAAGAACAAAAGAACAGAACCAGACCCACCCTGGCACCAGATCCGCCTAGCGCCGCCTAGCGCCGCCTAGAGCGCCTAGCCCGCCTAGAGCCGCCTAGCGACGCCTAGCCCCGCCTAGCGTAGCCCAGACCAGTCTAGCGCCGCCCAGACCCTCCCAGGCCGCCTAGGCTGATTTTTCGTAATGCAGACTATGGATTTTTCGTAATCTAGACGCCTCTGCTTTTCATCTGCTACGAGTATATAACCTGCAATGAGAGAGAGAGAGAGAGACAGAGACAGAGACAGAGACAGAGAATTAATATATGTTTACATATTTTCTTCTCATTTCTTGCCGCCCCTTCTAACAACTTTAAACCCTTACTGCGCAGCAGCCTCCTCCGCCCACACAAAACCCATCGCATCACCATCCCTCCTCCCCACCCTCTCACACTTTGCATAAAACTCCTCTCTCTCTCTCTCTCTCTCTCTCTCTCTCGTATGTGCAGCCATGTGTTTCCTACGTGTGTGTGGGAGAGTGCAATTTTGTGATTTGCCACATATTCGTGGACTCATATGGCCTTTTATAATTTTGAAGGAAGAGTTTGACGCTTCTTTTATAGCAAATAGTGCAGCCGTATGGCTATACTCTGCTTGCGCATTTTCAAAACAGTGTAGCCGTGCGGCTATACCCGGGCATCTTGTTCACTGAGGCAACGACTACAAGCGACTAAAAGCCAATCAAATCTAATGACACGTTAAATTTCGATTGTCAAATGATGTTACTTGTTCAATATATTTTTTGTTTTCTTAATGTCTGGTTAGTGTGCAGACACCAAATTCCTGTTTAATGGAATACAGGTATATCCAAGTCACACAAACTACTCCAGGACAGAACTTAATACATAAAAGAATAATCTTTGGAAGATGGTATATTATTATTAAGCATGGATTAAGACATGAAACTGTGATATCTGAAAATCAATGTGGTGGTTTACACGAATAATCAGTTAACTAATATTGGGCAGTTACATGGTTCCAAGTTTTTTTTGTCATTTTATAATGATTTCGCAATGTAGTTCCTAGTTAAAAATCCTGGTAGGTTTTAGAAAATGGAGGTATCTCTCTGCGAGTAATTGCCTGAACTTTAATAGATATGGATGGTAGGTTTTAGAAAATGGAGGTATCTCTCTGCGAGTAATTGCTTGAACTTTAATAGATACGGAATTTGATTCATCTGATCTTTTTCTTCACGTGTAAAATCAGGGTTATGCACCTGCATTTGAGGAAGGCACAAAGTCTAATTGTGATATGCAACTGTCAAATGAGAAGAACAATCATGATGATGAGTTTGAACATGAAAGTAATGGTTACAGTGAAAAGGCTTAAGCCAGACAAGGCCAAGATGACGATTCATATGTTGCAAATGACAAATATAATGGATACAATTACGATGATGAATGCAATTATGATAAGGAATGCGATTTTGAAGAATTGACTTAAATAATCAACTTCTTTTTTTCTTGATTTAGATTATTTTTCATGAACCAGTTGTATCATGTTACGATCTAAAGGTTAAGCAATTGAATCTTTTGGTTTTTAACAACTTTTTCAAATTGGAATTAGTCTGAGGAGAGATGCTATTGAGCATCGTTTGCATGTGAAACTCTTTGAACTATAACCATGAGCAAAATTCGTAAATTGGAACACTGAATTGTTGGTTTAAAGTTGTTCACAGTTTTTTGAGTGTATAGGGAAAAGCACCAGTTTGACAACAATGTTTCCCCTGTTTTCTTCTTCCTAAATTCAACACTGACAACACCAAAGGCTTCACAATATTCTATACAAGTCTGAGGAAAATTTCAATTGATCATTGATTTGCATCTCAAACTGTGAATTTATATAATTTAGTTAAAAGAAATTTTATTCAATGTTGAAAAATCGATTCTATGATGACGTTAGTGGGGCTTAGTTTCCACATCATCAAACTGCTCGGCAATTCATCATCCTTGACAATTTGACATTTTGTCGTCCAAAATATCCAATAAGGCGTTGTTTCTTTATTGCCAATTCAAAGACATTCGAACATTTTAAAAGTATAGCCAAGCGGCTATACTCTTAACACGAAGCTTGCACTTGCAGTCAAGCCATTTCGCTTCTCTATCAACTCAAGCTTCGATTTGTTGTCTTTGGTTTTGGCTACTTCGTCCTCCGGGTTCGGCAACGAAAAAAACACAACCCACCTAGGCGCCCGCCTAGCCGCCTAGCATCCTCGCTCCCCCCTAGCCACCACCTAGCGGCCTCGCGCCCTCCTAGCAACCGCCTAGCCTCCTCGCGCCTTCCTAGTAACAGTCTAGCCGCCTCGAGCCTGCCTAGTGACTGCATAGCCACCTAGCCGCCTGCCTAGGCCGATTTTTCGAACACTGCGATTGACTGAAAGTCTGAAACAACAATGGCCTCTTTCAGCATCCTTTGGCTTCTTTTGCAGTCTATGCTTTCTCAGCTGCTTCTGGTTTCATGTGTCCATGGCTCAAAATGCTACTACCGATCCATCTGAAGGTACTAGCCATCTTTCAAGTATAGCATAAATGTACGTTATGTGATGGGTACGCAATGATTGAATTGAGAATACAGTGACGGCGTTGATCTCAATATCCAAGCAATGTGACATGCAATCCCTGCCTATCAGTGGATGAGAGCAATGCATTGGATTTGCCATCAATGGAAGCGAGTTTGAAAAGCCAGAGAATAATCCAGCCTCTCTCTCTCTCTCTCTCTCTCTCTCTCCATATTCTTTAGTCTTGTGTTGTAGTATAGCCGGTCGGTTGTATATATGCTGGCTATACCATATTCTTTTTTATCTTTTCAAATAAATAGTATACCCGTGAGGCTATACTCCTTTTTTATGAATTTTTAAAACATAGATGGTGTAGCCGGTGGGCTGTACTTGTTTGACTTGAGGCACACAAGCTGGGGCATGTCTTTATATACATATATACGACGGCAACACTAGATTCTTTTTGTTTTTAGAAAAAAATAGTATAACCGTGCGGCTACACTCCTTTTTTTGAAATTTTTTAAACAAAGATGGTATAGCCGGTGGGCTGTACGTGTTTGACACGTGGCACACAGGCTGGGGCGTGTCTTTATATACATATATATGCCGGCTATACTACATCCTTTTTCTTTTTTTGAAAGAAATAGTATCATCGGGTGGCTGTACTCCTTTTTCTTTGAATTTTTAAAATAAAGATGGTATAGCCGGTGGGCTGTACTTGTTTGACACGTGGTGCACAGGCTGGGGCGTGTCTTTATATACATTTATACAAATAGTATAGCCAGCCGGCTATACTAGATCCTTGTTTGTTTTTTGAAAGAAATAGTATAGCCGTGCGGCGATACCCATTTTTTTCCTTTTTTTAAAATAAGAAATTGTATAGCCGGTCCTCTGTACTTTTTCGACACGTGGCACTTATGCTCTGGGCTCATCCTTTTTTAATAAATAAATAGTATTGCCGACCGGCTATACGTTTTTAAAAATTTTAAAAACGTATAATTTGTTTCTTTACTTTTGTTTTTTTTCCTACTTCTTTGATTCAATATATATAATTATGTAATGTCTTATCCTTTTTCAATTACTTTAACTAGGAATGATATTTTATTTATTATTTAATTCAAAAAATTTATAGAAAAAGTCCACAAAATAATTAATTTCTATTTACTAAGTCTTTTGTGAAATCTTTTGGGTGTCCTAATTAATTTTCTCAACAGCCCAAGAGCCCTATCCATTACTATTAGGCCATTACACGAGTATCTACTGTCCCATTTTCATTCTTTACTTTTCTAGAGTTGTTACCCGTACAAAGATTCTAGCACCTTCATGTTTAATAACGTATTATACACGTACGCACGTATTTCTCATGTTTAATGCACCTATTTTTTACAAAAATTCAATAACACACACATAATTCTCACGTACTTGTTTGACAAGCTGGGGCATGTCTTTATATACATTTATACAAAGATCCTTTTTTTGAATTTTTTAAACAAAGATGGTATAGCCGGTGGCTGTACTTATTTGACACGTGGCGCACAGGCTGGGCTTGTCTTTATATGCATATATATGCCGGCAATACTAGATCCTTTTTTATTTTTTGAAAAATTTTGTGGCTATACTCCTTTTTTTGAATTTTTTAAACATAGATGGTATAGCCGTTGGGCTATACTTATTTGACACGTGGCGCACAGGCTGTGCTTGTCTTTATATGCATATATATGCCGGCAATACTAGATCCTTTTTTATTTTTTGAAAAATTTCGTGGCTATACTCCTTTTTTTGAATTTTTTAAACATAGATGGTATAGCCATTGGGCTGTACTTATTTGAGACGTGGCACACAGGCTGGGACGTGTCTTTATATACATATTGTATGCCAGCTATACTAGAACCTTTTTTATTTAATGAAAGAAATAGTATAGCCGTGCGGCTATATGCGTTTTTTTGAATTTTTAAAATAAAGATAGTATAGCCGGTCGGCTGTACTTGTTTGACACGTGGCACTTTTGCTCTTGGCGCATCCTTTTTTTAATAAATAAATGGTATAGCCAACCGGCTCTACGTTTTTAAAAATTTTTAAACGTATTATTAGTTTCTTTACTTTTGTTTTTTCGCTACTTCTTTGATTCAATATATATAATTATGTAATGTCTTATCCTTTTTCAATTACTTTAATTAGGAATGATATTTTATTTATTATTTAATACAAAAAATTTATAGAAAAAGTCCACAAAATAATTAATTTCTATTTACTAAGTCTTTTGTGAAATCGTTTGGGTGTCCTAATTAAATTTCTCAACAGCCCAAGAGCCCTATCAATTACTATTAGGCCATTACACGAGTATCTATTGTCCCTTTTTCATTTTTTACTTTTCCAGAATTGTTATCCGTACAAAGATTCTAGCGCCTTCACGTTTAATAATGTATTATACATGTACGCACGTATTTCCCATGTTTAAAGCACCTATTCTTTACAAAAATTCAACAAGACACACATAACTCTCACGTATTATTGAATAAAAATAATATATATTTATAAATTTAAAAAAAAAGGGTATATATAATCAGCTTTTCCAAATTGCCTTTAAAAATAGTATAGCCGGGCGGCTATACTCCTGTTTTTGAATTTTTTAAACAAAGATGGTATGGTCGGTGAGCTGTACTTATTTGACACGTGGCGCACTGGTTGGGGCGTGTCTTTATATACATATATATATATATATATGCCGGCTATACTAAATCCTTTTTTAGTAAAGGTTCTGTCTTTCCAGAATTTCTTTGTAGGTGGTTTTTTACTGATGATTTGGTTTGTGAAGTAGGTTCAATCCCCTTCGATGTTGGCATGTTCAATGAATTTGAAGATGATGTGGAATGAAGAACTATTTGATTGTTATTTTCATGAGGG